TCATGTTTTAAAGAACAAAAGTCTCCGCTACAAGTTCTGCATTATTTCAAACGATTTCGTTATAGAGATCCGTTTCGATAAGGCTTCTAAAATGTTAAAACCAACTTTCAGGATTGTTCAATTTCAACTAACTTTGAAGACGTTGTAATCATGGTAGAAAATTTCAGATTGTATTTGTATTGTAAACACAAGGACGATTAACACTGTTATCAACGCATCAAGGTGCAACGAAACTTAATATAAACACATATTTTCAATAAAGTATATAGCTCAATGTAAGCTGTAATGTATGAAGCTCAGGTGGTGACTGATACCTCTCGAGTGCAAAAGGTTAACGATCATCGATCAATCGACTCCGACGCTCCAAATTTCAGCGAAATCCGAAATTTGAAATTCGAAAACTTACTCCAAAAAAAAAAAAAAAGAAAGAAAGTGTCCGACTCGACGACGTAGCGACCCCTTCGCAAATAACGTTCGTTGTTATTTGTATTTTCAGTGCCACCAGATCTATTTTTGCTAGGTTGTATTTTTGTTATCGTTGAGTACGACGTGCAGCATCCGAACGACGTCACGATATGGAAACAAGTGATCGAGAGGCACGGGGGAGAGGTCGAGCCCCAGTATTGCACAAGGGCGACCCACGTGCTGGCGATCACGCAGAAACATCCAACCGTGGTGCAGGCGTTACGCGAAGGGAAGCGCTGTGTCAGCGCTCACTGGCTGTCGGACGTTGTCAGTAAACAACAAGTGCTACCGCCGTGGCACGCGTTGCATTTCCCAACGCCTTTCAGCCTAACGGAGCTGCCATGCGCGAAGCAGATCGTCTCCTTGTCTGGATTCGAGGGCGAGGAACGCGCCAAAGTGAAGTTCATGCTGGAAGCTTTGGGGGCGAAGGTCACCAATTACTTAACCAGGCACAACACACTCCTCGTTTGCAGAAGGTAGCCAGCATTTCTTATGATTTAAGTGCTCCTGACACTAATGCTTGATTTTATGAAAGGAAGGAACAACGCTGACTTCGCAAGGATTTTGATGATTTTTAATGTGGCGATTGGTGTGAAGAGTCGTGAGGAATGTTAGATAGAAGCTGCGATTGGAGAGAAGACTTCAGGATGAGTTAGGATAATACAGGATCACTCTTTGAGCTTTTTTTTTCTGTTGCGCCTTAGTATAGAATAGAAGATGTGTTGTGTCTCGTGGAGGAAGAGATATTTTTGAAGAGTAATGCTTTTAAATCTGACCAAGGAAGTTGAATCTGAGTCGGAATGAAGTAGTTTGATAGAGTTTGAAGCATAAATGGTACGAAACTAAGTTTAGATGATAATTACAAAATTTAAATAGGAACACGTTGAGAAATACAGGGAGAATGAATTATTAACGGAAATATTTCGATACTGTTAGACTGGCCATGGTTAAAGATTATCAAAATCCGTAGAGGTGTCAGCGATGAGCGCCCTTGTAAGTATCCAAGTTTATCTGGAATTTCTCTGTGGTATTTGATTGATCATATTCATTTAGAGAACTATTCGAATCTATTCGACAAAGAATGTACAATGGATAGATAAGAGGGTCCCTAGATTCGAGCTTCCCCTTCCAATCTCGAACGACTACATCAATCACTGAAAGAAGTTTACTTAGATACCAAATAAACTTGAATACTATCCCTTCGCTAATTCACGAGGCTTGCTTTACTCTAACATGGAGGATGATCGCTTAAATCGAACCACTTTTTCGCTATTACGTTTCTCATTCCATGAAAAACATTTCAGACCGGACGGTCAGAAATATAAAAAGGCGCGGGAATGGCAAACTGGGGTAGTGAACGCTCAGTTGTTGACGGACCTATTGTGCGGCCAGATGAACGCTCTCCATCAGACCGAAAACCCAAAATATCAGCAATACAGCCTGAGCAATCCCTTTAGATTGGATTATTCGCTAGTGCCTCATTTAATGGGTATCGTGAACGTCGATGATTACGTTGTTCCCTCGCAAAGAATTACTATTCTTTCGTACTAGCGGCTCCGTCTGTAGCCGCAGCCGTATTAAAACGATGTTTCTTTCAGCTGCGTGGAAGATGCCAATAAACATTACGCAGGAGTCGTACGACAAAGTAAAGCAAGTTGGTCAGGGTCCAAATTCGATAAGAAAGTATAAAAAGCCGCGATTAGACGGGCCGTTGTTAAACAAGGACCCACATTTGTTGGGTCTGGACGAGCCTATAGTCGTCAGTAATCCCGACCCTCCGCCTCCGGATAAACAACCGAGAATATTGTTCTCTGGTATCAATCCTAGAAATCATGCGAAGGTAATAACATCCAGTGTGCCGATACTATCCAGTTTCCGAATATGGAAACATTACTGTTCAACGATACTTGAAAGACTATAGCGTGAGAACCACGATTGCTACGGTTAGGTGACTTGCTAATTTCTGATTGTTCATTCGACAGAGAATTCGGGAATTAGGTGGTGCGCTGGCAGCCAGTTGGCGGGACGCTACTCACCTCGTGATGTCAGCGCCGATAAGAACTGTAAAATTTTTGTGTTGCCTGTCACGTTGTAAATATATTGTCACGTTACAGTGGCTACTCGATTGTTCTGCAAGGAACACGTTCTTAGATGAAAGTGGATACATGCTTGGCGATCCAGAATTCGAAAAGAGTTTTAATTTTAATATCGAGAAGGCTCTGGCGAGCTGTAACCGGGGAACAGTACTTAAGGTGATTACTCAGCATGACATCAACACTTTCGACCCTTTTATGGAGTTAATCGCTTTGTGCTATGGCTCATATGCCTCAGTAAATATTCCTGATTGCCTTTGGCCAAATTATATGTGAGACTTACAAAAACATGTATAAAGCATGAAAATCATTCACTCTGGGGCAAATTGACTTTTCTTATTCGACTACAACCATATATAACCAACCCTAGTTTAATATAATTAATTTCTAAAAGAGGCATGAATAGATTACAAATAGAAAAATGTCGACTTGAAAAAGGATCAACGATACATCTGTACCGTCCAAGGCATAAAACACCATATGCAGTTCTAACAAAAATTAACTTCCCACTGTTACTAATAATCACCATGACTTGACTTGATTAATAAACAAGAATATGTTTCACTTTCTTCAGAGGCAAACAACACTCTAATGTGCCACTTTCCCATCTATTCCTTATAAACATGCATGCAAGTAACCAGTGTGAATATTTCTGTTTAAAATAGACCCATAAACGATTGTATGCAAATGCACAGAATTAATCTCTACACCTATCGTTATTCAAAAGGGGCAGACAATTACGCTTTTGTTATAAGGTTAACCATTGTGGCCGCAATTTGCATTTGTTTGATACGTCTTTTCGTCGAACAGGGTAAAATATTTTATGTCACACCGAGTGTGGTGCCATCGCCTTCGGCAATCGCAGAAATTATCGAGAGCGCGGGCGGATCGTTGGAGAAAACGCGGAGATCCGTCGCGCAGATCCAAGAAATGAATAGTAATAAATTAACTTATGTCATCGTCACTCACGAAAATGATATTCATCTTCTTTCTGACGTTTTACGTGCAAAGATCAGTAAGTGGAAATAACGATAATGCAGAGTAAAGGATGATGATCTTGCAGTATAACACATGTTATTATTTATTTTACGTTTCAACTGTTTCTTTTAGGGCCATCTTCAACACCTAAAAATGGTACAATTCGATTTACTAAATTAAACAGTTTATTTCATTTAAGAATCGCGACAATATAATTGTCCGTAAATTGTTTTGAGTTAATTATCAAAGTGGAAAGACCCCTTTTCATTAGTTGATTTAGTGAATACACTTGTAACATTTCTAAATTATGAAAATTAGTCGGAAATGTAAAATAAGTGAAACTTGTTCGTGACTGCAATTTACATACATGCAAACTTATCTGTGTATAATTAATACAGAGCTTTTGTTTATCTAGATCACTGTAATATCTGCGTTGCTTTTATGGATCGACTCGATGTCATGTTAACTCTCAAACCAAACGTTTTCTATAGAAATACATCGATCGTAAATACTTTTGTATTCAAATTGATCCGATTTTCAAGATCATCTGAAGATCAACATATCTTGCGTGGTTCTTCCCTTGTATGTGTTCTCGTATCTTACGAAGCAACGGAGACGTTAAAATTGTTAAGATAAATGAAACGCCCTGTATAATAGAAAATGGCGTGTATTCTTACAAATTTCTAATATTTTTAGGTGTGTTCACTGCAGAAATCGTGTTAAGAGCAGTTGCACGACAATACTTCCAACCTGACGAGGTATGAATACAACGCAGTTCACTGTGTACTGCATTTTACCCCTGATGCGGGCTCACTAAAGTTTCTTTAGTCAGCTATTTTGGACATGAAATTTTTGCTTACCTTCTTCGATGGGACAATAAAGAACATAATTTTATGATACAGGAGGAACTATTTTCAATAATACATTCCAAACCTCTCCTTCTCATGTTGCTTTTTTAAAAAACAAAAAAAAACACGCATATTTTATATATATATATATAGACGTCCACGTGACAGAATTTAATAACTTTCATTTTAACGTAGAAACATATATAGATATATATTGTGTACTGCTAATTACAATTAAAACGTATTGTTTTAATCAGCATGTTTGTAGTTATTTTTACACGACAATTTTAGCGCGCATTAACTCGTCACCTTTTTATCGTGCATATACATATACACACATATCATTCTAGTTTATATTATTATTGTTGTACACTTATTTTCTTCCATTCAATGTGTCCGCTTACGCTGTCTTTATGTATAGTTATAGTTATGTAAGGAATAAATTATGTGTAAGAATGTGTGTAATTGCAAATAAATAGAAATACACAGCATTCGTATGTTCTCTTACCGATGATGGAGACGTCGTTATTTTCAACCCTGTCAGCGGCAGCGGGTCCAGGTGACTTCCAGGTGAATTTCATATCACACGAATGGAGGTATATGATTGTACAATAAATGAAACGTAAGAAAAATACAAGGTTTTATTCGAGCAGAATAAGATCATGGTCGTTCGTAAAATTAGCGATAAATGATTTTCTACGAAGCATCTATCTAACAGTATATATACATTTTCAATTAACGATACACGAGTACGATACGATCATTGATAAAGAAGGATTACCTCGCGCGTGACGGAACAGTTCAGTTTAAGATAGATTTACGTGCTATACTTATTTTACGCGGTATGCAATTAGAATTATGTCAAGAATAAATATTACACGGTATGAATAAATGGAAGAGCTAAAATACATACGCTGTCCTTACGAGTAAAATAATCGAGGTAGGGTCGATCCTTTATTCAAATGACCCTGTTACTTTTGTACAGTTTCCATCGTCCATGTCGCGAATATTAACGTAAAGAGAAATAGGAGTAAAAGCAAGATTTAGGGTCTTTCACAGTCGAATTATAGAACGGTGATTATTAATCACTGATTACTTTGTGATAATTGTTCATAATCGTCGAATTAATCGTTGACCACTTAAATGTATAATCTGCAACCATAATCTAATAATTTCTAATGCCTCAGCATTAATCGCACGTGTACATTCATGATTATACATACTGAGTATACATTAATCATGATTACTTCGTTTATTAACGGGATTAATGATTAAAAATTATCGATTATGATTCTTGGATCACCGATAAAGTACATTTTGCCCAGCACTGCCATAAACGAGCTCTGTAAACTGCTATAAACAATTCTACGTTCGAAAACAGGTCGAAATGTGGATTCGCGATATCTTGGGATGTCGAAGCGGAAGTACATCGAAGATAAAATGAAAAAAATCAGGACGACAGTCGATAAATCGACCATGCAATTCCACTTGGCGTTGTCCTGAACGGAGCTACCAGTGTCGTGAGAATAATTTCTATCGAGAAGCTGATCGACTAGCATGTTTAGAATCGCGGAAGGACACTACGTGGCGAGCTGTTCCAATATCCAGTCTCTGTATTGCGCGACGTCCGCGTATACTACGAATTGCGACAGGTCGCAGGACATTCTGGTTCTGTCCAACAGCGATAATGAAACGATACCGCGGAGATAGTAGCGTTCCGTGTAGGAATCGTAGATGACGAAGCCACTTCCGCTGTCGCCGTTGCAAGGACCGGTTCCGTTGCGCAGACCCGCGCAGAATGTTCTGTTCGTGGTTGTCTTCGCGAACTCGCTGTTGCTCCACAGACAGACCTCCTGCAATTCGAGTAAACGAGCATCGTTAGATTAAATGTAGATCGTCGTTCTGGGATTTATGTGTTGGAAATAATGGATTTAAATTATTTGAGCAAGAAATACATGTTCGTTCTGTTCAAAAGTTCTGGGGTAAGTCCCACTGTAGGTGTTTATGCAAGTTCATATTTTTACAAATTTTGAAGAATGAAAGCTTGAATAGAGATATTATTATAGAATAGATTATTGTTGATATTTTATATATTTGTTCCTTTTTTCTATGTTTTTATTCGTCATATGTAAGAAGTGACAGGGCTATGAAAGATAAAAGAAAAAGGAGGACGATACAGAAGATAGATTTTATACAGACTAGGAAACAAATGACTGTAATATTCGTAGATCTAAAATTGGAATAAACGTGTGAAATTAATATCGAATAATTCCGGAGAAGAACCCAGTTAATGAATCTTCAATCTTCTAAATAGTCCTTCTCGAAGTACTTCTCTAAAATGAGTGTTTGTATTCACATAACAAAAGTTGGAATTTCTACATAGTATAAAATAAAGTTTCTGGTAAGCGTCTATCTCCAGAACACAACATTTTTTCCTGTTGACGACAAGAGAAAAAACGATTAATGTCGTCTATAAGGAGATCTTATAAGAACTCTTAACAAAAAAAACTTTTGGTAGAGAATTCATGATTGCTTCCAGGCGAAGCCACGACAAGTCTAGTACAGGTATAGTAAAAAAATAGATTAATTAATTCAGTATTCAATTATACGAACAAGATTTTTAAACTATTCAATAGTACCTACAAATTCTTCCAATGAACTTTAATTAAATGAAAGAGGTTCAAATTTCCCGCGGAAAATTCCTGTCGCCATCTAGCGGTAAACATGCCGAACTATTTTCGGAGTTTGGTCAGCGCCTCTATCGGGAAAACGCCCAAGTTTGTCCTCGATAGTTCCTTTTTCTCCTGCTAGATGGCGCCATTTTCAGTGTTACTTACCGACCTGTCGATACATTACCATAATGCGGTAAATAACAAAGTAAATGGCGCCATCTAGCAAGAGAAAAAGGAATTATCGAGGACAAACTTGGGCGTTTTCCTGATAGAGGCGCTGACCATACTCCGAAAAATAGTTCGGTATAATCACCGCTAGATGGCTATTTATTTGAGCGAAAATACCGGGAAAGTATAAAATTTTTAAAAGCTTAAAACAGAAGGCCAGTGTATACATAAAACAAATGATATATTCTAAAGAAGAATCGTGTTAACGTATCCTCGAATTTTCTGCATGAATATTAATATGCACAGAGAACACATTGGACAACTTTTTTGATTCCAGCTATCCCATCGAGGCGTCGACAACGAAGAAGAAACCGGTTGTAATCGTTATCTCGTGATTATTAAAATGTCAACATTAAATGAGCATTGTAACATTTTAAACACCGCGAGTGATACTTTAGCAATGTTTAAACCATTTCAACATTGATACTACAAAATGTTTACACTGTTGCAAAATATAATGTTTTGTACGTAATAAAAAGTAAAATTTTTAAAATGGAATGAAATACAAATTTTTGGAAAATAAAGACGGTTAGAGTAAGACAAAGCTTTGCAATTGAAATTAAGTAAAGATCAAGAGTTCACATATGGTACAAAGAAATTGGTTTTACCTGAGATACGATCGGAGAAGTGGACATACGAGGTTCGTCAAGGTACGGATTCCCGAATTCGTCGCGTCCCCAGCCCACAACGGTTCCCGACCTTCCCACAACAAGGTCCAGTGCCGTAGGGCTTGGCCAAAGACAAACTGGTCTGACCATCGCGCTGTACTCCACCCTATCTTTGAGAATCAGCACGGCAAGGTCGGAGTCGGCGCTGGCTTTCGAATTGGCGTCGACCTGGAACCTGTAATCGGGGTGGATCCTATATTCCGCCACGTGTCGATTCGAGTCCTTTTCCTCCCAGCCTCGAAGACGATATCGTCCCACACCGATCGACAGCACGCTCGCTGGGATCATCAGGTTGCCCAATTGAAAGCAGTGGGCAGCTGAAAAGGAATGAAAGTTTTTTAAGAATTTTATTTTGTAGGATGACGTAGAAGACATAGAAAAACCATGAAAACAGGCTAGGAAAAATCAGGTTGGGCTGGAAAATACTTCCTTGCGGTTTACTAATACTAATTACAGTCATATTGTTAATACTGTACAGTACGATAGTACTTCTTTGACAGTCGGTTTACTAATATTGGGTTGTCTGTAAAGTCCGTGCCGATTTTTGATAGATGGTACACGTCTGTTTATATCGGAATGGTTGAAAACAATTAACATAGGTGCATCCCTTAAAAGGTGGAAAGGTCGTGGAACAAAATGGTATTTATATAATTCAATAAATATATATTAAAATTCAAATATGCCTTTGAATTTTTCTTAAAAATTGGCACGAACTTTCTGGACAACCCAATACTAATTCCATTCATATTGTTAATGGGATTTTTCTTTTCTTTTCTTTTCTTTGCATTCGGAATTTTCTGATTTCAGTACTTCTTGTCGAGCCTCGCTAGACATACGACCGCAAAGAATCAATACCGTAGAATACTATTACATAATTGTACTACCACCGATAATACCCGCTACCATATACCAGCAGCCAAACCTACTAGCCAACTCCTCACCTCTGGATACTACTTACTAATACATTTTTCAAGCTCCCCTACGTAAAAGGTTTTCGCATATTTTCCATGAATGAACATATCACCCCTCTCCAACGAAAAAATACCCAATTGCACCACCTTTAAAGATCACCTACCCGTGATAACATGAGTGTTCGTCACCAGATTCCCGGCACATTGGAACTCAAACTCGTACTTGACGACGAAGATCGCCACCAACCAAGGCCACTGACCTGGATACGTTTTCAAACCTCCTGCTATCAGTTGGTTAATCGTGTTCGTGTTACTTGGACGACCGCATAATTCATTGGTCTGATCGATGTTAGGAATCGGCTTTGGAGTCACGGGAGGAGCTGGTTGAGTGGTCTGAGGTCGAGTTGGAATCGGTCTGAACACCGTACGTTCAGTTCCAACAGTTTGAATCGATGATCTGGTCACTTCGGGCTGGAAAACTGGCGGTCGAGTGGGTTCGGTTTGGAAAACTGGCGGTCGAGTGGGCTCGGGTTGGAAAACTGGCGGTCGAGTGGGTTCGGGTTGGAAAACTGGCGGTCGAGTGGGTTTGGGTTGGAAAACTGGCGGTCGAGTGGGTTCGGTTTCGAAAATTGGCGGTCGAGTGGGTTCAGGCTGATAAACTGGGGATTCAATGGGGTCCGGAATAGCAGGCTGCCACAGCTTTTCGTCTACGTCGGCGTGCGATGAAATCAGGTTCGATTCGTCCAAAACTTGCATCTTCCCCGGTGGATACAAGGTGTGGTTCAATACGATGGACGTGACGATTTGTCCCATTGCTGAAATGAGAATGATTTGGTCACTTGATTCTGGACTCTTTACTATCTTCGATCTGCGAAAGTTCGGTGCAGTTTGAATTGTGAATAATATTTTGCAAAACATTCTGCAATCAGTTCATGTATACATAATTACTATTTCTTATATTGTAGATCTTTATTTATTACATAATCGTATCAGCTAACTTGTCAAAATTATTTCAAGGTGATGATACGATATTACAATATAATATATGCCTTGAAATAAGCAAGCTAGATATAATTTAAAAGATCTCAGTAAAACATGAAGAACATGATAAAAATACAAAAATAGACATCATTTAAAGACCTGCACTATGGCATAGCCCTCCAACAAATTTATTTTCAGAAACAGATCAGA